TCGCCGGCCGCCCGTGTCCCTCTCATGGCGCTGGCGGACCCACGGGGGAGACGCTGAGGGCGCCGAGGAGCCCCGTGGCGCGGGCCGAGGAGCCCCGTGGCGCGCGCAGGCCGTGCGCTGTTCCGAGGGCCCCAGGGCACCGAGCGCCGGCCTTCACGGAGCCGCTTCCCCAATTCCTTCTGACTGAGGGCTCCGGAGAGTCTCCGCGCTGCCTGGGCAAAGTCTCCATGCATAAACATGAAGCACTCCTGTTCCCTCCCCGCTGCCTCGACTGAACTTAGTATCCTCACGCTCCCCAACAGCTCCGCTTCAGTGGCGCCAAGGCAAACTCCTTAACAGCCCGTGCTCTCCAGAACCAGGACAGTTACTGCCATGCAGGCACTGAGAAAAATGATATTATTTCAGCTAGCACTATGAAGGAGCTATTCTTTAAAAACTGACTTTTTACTGATGACCGTTACCATTATAAGGGATTAATATTATTAGTCCCTTTTTTCTCCTAGCTAGATATTTCAGTATTCAACAAAACTGAATTTAAAATATCTCGGGTCTGGGGAGGAGTCAAGAGGGAAACACATTAAATTGTCAGTTCAATATATATTAGAATACATGGACTCATTAAATTCCGCTTTTCATTCTATGAATATTAAACATTAATGAAGATTCAGGTACAAAGACATTAAAGTGAAACATCAGAGAGCTATGATTTAGCTCGTACACAGAGAAAGAAAGTTAACTAGAGAAGCTAATAAAGGCCACAACCACAGAACCACCATAAAACCAAAACGTACAGGAGATGAACAGAGAGAGCTATGAGAATAAACCTCATTTTAGAAAGTCTACAACTGTAGTAGTGGTAATAATACATTTTTAAAAGGCTTCATATACACACTTTCACAGGCAAAATTTTCATGTAGAATACAAAGGAATGGAAAGCAACTGCATCACCTAGTTCTATTCATGTATTTATTCCTAACTTAGTAATATTTGCATTGAGAGTCCATGGACATCTCTTGCATTAAGCAACTTGAGAACTTGTAAAGAAAAATGTCAAACCTTAAAAGGAAGAGTTTGTAAACAAATACTGAAACATAATAATAGCTATATCCTGATGTTCCTTTTCCCTTCAAGCACTCCAGTTCTGGAGACTCCAATGCCTATAGCACTAGGACTACTGACTCCATACACCTATAGCATATAATTGAAAGGCAAAACACTGTTAA